AGTTTAAAACAGAATACTTTAGACGTATTTTGAGCAACTGATCCACGAAATTGAAAAAAAATTGGGTCATGGCATTTTGCTATCCATCTTTGCTTATTTCTTTACTAAATCTGTAGTATTATGTTGAAAATGTTTGATACAGTATTGGCCTTCAGTTTTTCAGTGTGTCTCAATTAAAACACAAGCTAACTAGTTGTATATGACCTTTTGATAATGATAACCCAGCATAGTTTTAGAAACTTAATTTTTTCGATTATTTTTAGGGTCACGTAAAATTGTTCACATAAATGAGTAGTTTTTGCGTAATTTTGCGTGAAATAAAAGCGGTTTTTTAACTATTATTTTTTTCGAAAACGGGCTCCAATTTGTTCTTTATATGTTTTTCATCTTTTATAGCAAGAGACGCTTCAAAAATAACGCAGGTCTCATTTTCGGCGAACACTCTGAAATTTCGAATGTTGAAAAAGTTAATCAAAGTTTATCTGTTGTAGCACAGCTGGTGTGTCTAATTCGCAGCACCAACTTAAGATAATAGTGATTATAATATTTCATTCGAGATTTGCCGATTCGTACGATGTGTGAAGGGCCGTAGACACACTATGTAAGATAGGAAGGCATTAGATACAAAGGGAAATATCTTAAATGAAATAATACGCTACCGCAAAAGTAGTCGTTTGCAACATGTAAAAGGAAACCTGAAGGCAGGATATTGCCGAAAGCGTTCAACTAAAAAGCAAAACGGCACTATAAATTGGAGACACCCAGAAATATTTATAGAGGTTTAACTCTTTCCTACCACCTCCCTACTGCACTGTCTTCGACTTTACACGTTGACTTTGTACTTTAAGAATGCTGAATGGGGTACTATGGAGTCGGGAAATTCATGTAAGAACAAAAAAGGTTATTGTACGAACTATTATTGAAAGTATTGTAACGAATGGTGGAGAGAGTTGGATGGAACGCCAGAAACAGAAATTATGTGCAGTAGAAATGGATGAATTAAGAAAGAGCTGCCGAATTTCTAGAATGGAAAAAATTAGAAACGTAGAAATTCGGAAACGGAAGCAGCAATCGGAATTGGTGGTGAACGGATTAGAAAGTAAAATGCTACAATGGTATGGCCACCTGAGAAGAATGTCAGATATAAAGTGGCCCAAGAATGTCCTCGACTAGTCTCCTCCAGGAAGGAAAAAACGAGGAAGACCTCGCAAAACCTGGAATGCCGGAGTAATGGATGGCATGCGTGAAAGAAGAATGGACGAAGACCTTTGGTCGGATAGAGAAGGCTGGAACCGCAAAATAAGAGGCAACCGCTGACAAGTGGAAACGCCGATAAAAGTAAAGTTAAAAGTAAGTACTTTGTTTTTTCCTTAAAATTAATAAATCTTTCCAGTATACCAAATTTTTTGGCACAGTTCTGAAAGTTGTCACCTCCACATATGTCAAGGTTCCTACTCATTAGGAGGATGCAATAATTCATCAATTTAATTCATACTGCAAAGATAACCGAAGTATATCTCCGTAATAATGAGTAGAAGCTAAAATATGTGTTATTTAATAAACTAAATTATTTTCTAAAAATAAGATAAAATTGTACCAACCACACATATGACTTTGACTCAGTAAATATATTAGAATCCAGGATAACGTAGCTCTCACATTTGAAAATTATCGTTTACTTTTACTACATAATCACTGGCTAAAATGGGTCGATACTATTGGTATTTACAGACCGTAACTTATTTACTTAATTAGATTAGCGAAAATTTTCTTCGATTTAGAGATAATTGGAAAATACCTTGTTTCAGAATACATTTTACTTCTCTTGTTTGAAATGTGACGAAAATTAGCTTGTAATTGAATATTCAATCATTTTAAAATAATTTCCTCAGAACAGTAATCTTTAGCATTGAATTAGGAGTAAAATATCAAATTGAATATGAAATATGAAATTGAAATAAAATCATAAATACTATATATTCATATTAAGATGATTCAAAAACCTAAAAATAAATATTTTTAAAAAGCATTTTATAAAGAATCTCAAACGTAAGATATTGAGTAAATCAACTCTTGCATGAGACGGGCTGAAAATATTGATGGAAAGGGTATTTAATTTGTGTATGTGAATAGAATATGATATGGAGGTTTTTATGTATTCGAAATCTTTGGAGGCACGGTCCTCCCATCTTTTATTGGCATGCCAATGCCTTTGAGGTTTACCTTATCACATGCGCATGCGATACAGGTATTTTTATCTCACCTGTACTTCAATCAGACGTGCGCTGTACGACTGTCATATTCTACTGATTTTGTACAGGGGTAAAATGACATATACTAGTCACAAATGTGTTATATACTAGTAAAAAATGACTACATATCAACCATTTCTCACTTTACGGCCTGCGTACTGCAATTCTTAAATTCCAGGAAATATCTCAACATGAAAGAGCTATCCAATATTTTTTTACACGCACACGAAAAAGATGAGAACGAAACATGAACATACGTATATTCTGTATATACAGTGTCTGAGAGTGTGAGTGCATGTGTGTGCGCAAATGTGTTTGTAACAGTGTTTGTGTGTGTGTTTGCGTGCATGCTTTGCGTGCGTGTGCGCGCGCGTGCGTGTATGTGTGTCAATGTGTGTGAGTGTGGGTATATGAGTTGGTGTGAGTGTGGATATGAGGGTGTGTGCATGAACGAGTGGGCGTGAAGATATTCATGTGGGTGTGGGTGTGTTTGTGTATATTGCGTTCTCTCCTTCCTACCTACATATTTGAATTTATGTTCAATTACCATTCTATAGAATCTACAGAATGATTTGAAAAAGAAAAACAAATGCAGTGGGATAGTAAGAAAATGAATGGAGAAATCTACAATTAACTGCCAAAGATAGGAAAATACGAAAGCGGGAAAAGAAAAAAATGGGACCTTCTCCCTTCTTCTAGGTGATCTTATGAGATGAAATACGTCATTTGAGGTTTGCCCATTGTCCTACTTAGTGACAATACATGAAGGCAAAAGCTAATAGAGGGAAAAGGATAATCAAGGAGTAAGTGTCTGTAAATGCTAGAAGCAACGATCAAGGAGGAAATAAAACATGAGTAGATCAGAACAGGAAACAAGGAAAATATAATGTTGATGACGCCAAATAATGATAAGGAATGTAAGTACCTTTCCCTTAAAAAAGCAGAATCACAAGTGGTTTGTTTGCCTTGGGTCACTGTTGCAATGTCGGGGGTTGGTCGAGTTATCAAAAATAATGTTTGACCATCCTAGACATCTCTATCTTAGTCGGTTTTTCTCCTGCTTCACAGCCACTTCCAAGTTAATGTGAAGTTAACTCTATGTTCTGGTAATTTTGCACACTAACAGACGACTATTTCCATTGAATGGGAGTTAGATCGGTGTATGAAATATTCTTTACATAAAATCAACGTAATTCTTTTGTAATCATGTAGAAACGAGTCATGTAGATACGAAAAGATTTGCACTTGTATTATCAACCCCTAGTACTTGACAGTGTGCTCTAATCTCTCTATATTCCGTCTCCCTCTCGGTTTATCTTCTTATCTGAAGAAATTTACCGTCTTACTGCGGTATGATATAGTACGTTTACGTTGCCCAACTTCGCAATCACATCCATCTCCTATTCCATTATGTTTCCATCTCCCTCACTGACTGAAATCGGTTGGACTTGAACAGCGAGGCGTTCGCAATTTGGCCGGGCGATGGATGGATTGGACGTAGTAGACGCTACTCTCGTGGGGAGTCCCAAGAATCTGCCCCTCCATGTCCTTCGGGTGATTCAGGGCGATATGTGTGAGCGACTGGGTCCAAGATTCATTCATTTCCCAGTCTCCTTGGGTACTACGACCTTCGGTTTGTTTCGTCATTTGGTCTATGATGCGCTGACAAGATCGAAAAGAAGAATAAAATTTGATTCTGAAGATGATGACAGGCTACCTGTTCGAAGAACAGTGTTTAAAGAGTGGTGTAGGAGGATATAATATTTTTTAGAGGAGTTTTTTTAAAATGAATGGAGAGTTGCTGCTGGTTATTCCGACCGTGTTTCACGACCATGGGGAAAAATAAATTAATACACCACGTGTTATCTGCGAATTACGATTACGAGATGTCTATGTCTTGGAAGAGAACGACAGGCTCAACCAGAGGCGGATCCAGCCGATCATTGGAGGACGAAGGCGATCATAGATTTTTGTTATATATAAACATTTTTTTCAATTTATTGTATATTATTTTTGTAGTATGTATAGATACTATGCAATACTATTATTTAAATATTTATAACATAAATATTTATTTCAATTTTGCCAAATAAAGGAAGGTATCAAAAGAAAACTCTGGGCCTTGGGGAGGCATGGCCCCCATGCCCCCCTCTGGGCCCGCCACTGGGTTCGACAGCGATCTTCCGCGGCGAGTCAGCTGAGGAGCAACAGGTGCACAGCCCGACGCGAGTGCTGCCTCCTACCGGGAGGGGTGGCGCGGTGCGCGACCGGCGCGGAGTGGTAGAGCGCGCTCGCGCGGTGTGGGCGGACCGCCCCCTCGGCGCCAGGGCCGAGAGCGTCAGCAAACCCAGGACTCACCTCGTGCCGGCTGGGGCTGCGCTTGCGGCGGCTGCGGCGGCGACGACGGGGACGGCTGATGCACGGGCTGCGAGATGAGGGCGGCGGCGTTGGACACGATGACGGACGCGCCGGCTGACGGGTGTGGGGCCATGGCGGTCAGCATGGTGGTGGTGGTGGTCCCGTTCATGGTGCGACAGAGAGAGAGAGAGAGAGAGAGAGAGTGAGAAGGAGAGGGAGAGGTCTTCCCGGGGAGCGGCAAAGCGGCAGAGTCGGCAGGCGCGCTCTACGGCGGCGAAGCCATCTGCAGCGAACGACAGTCGCGAACTCGTGAGCAAAAGCGGCGGCGACGGCGCGGAGGCTCGGCGGCAGGGCGGCGGCGTTGCGCGGCGATGGCGGCGGTGACGGCCGATGGAGGGGCGGGACGCCGCGGCCGGCCGAGAACCGCTGGCGAAGGCGCGCCGCAGACCAGCGCCACCCTACCACTGTGGAGACGCACTAGAGGGCGCCGCGGCGAGCCTAACGGGCGGGCGGGAGGGCGCGGTTGCGCCTGCGCAATACCGCGGCCTCCCTTATCTGCGTCTTCACCCGATAACGAGATAGTCCTGGCCCTGTTCCCCGCTCCACTCGCGATCCCTCGCGCGCGGGCCAGCTCGCAACCGCTGCGCCCTTTGATGATGCCGCGATGGCAGTGAGAGGATGAGTGGCACTTGTACAGATGTTACACTCCGCGTTTAGACCCCGTTTTCACGAGTGAACCTTGGTACAATGAGCCTGCTGCAATCGAATTTTCGACATGTTCATGTCGCATACTCTTATGTAATTTGAAAGAACCACATGTTTCCTCGTATTTTAATATATTTCTGACTCTTTGCATTACTCCATGTTCACATTCAAATACTTACTATTAAATTATACACACACGTTTTAGTGCTTTGCGAAATATGTCGCACTCTCTCAGAATTTTAGAGAATTCGTCAGGATAGAACGAGACCTACTGGACTCTATTGCGAGACTAAATCTTGTTGTAAGGCGTATCTGCTCGATTATCTTTTACTTCGAAAATGACACATGTATTATTCTGCACATGACCTTCCGTCTATAAAAACCCTGACATGTTATCGAATTTACACAACAAAATTATGAGGGAGAGAATCAAAGGTCATGGCGTGTAATAGATGACATAAAATCCTAGAATCATCTCAGAGACTTCATTCGCTTTTACTGAACACCAGACAGGATTTCCATTCAAATGTATAATTTTAGGTACGCTTTCTAATGATCTGAAAGACTCTTTTCTAAAACAGTGTATTTATTTTGACGTTTCGACACTATTTGTGGTTTTTCAAAAATATATTAACAGGATTATGATAAAACAAAATGTCAAGATATGAAAAAACTGGTCAAGTCGTAAACATCTGAAACGTCAAAAGAAATAAAATGTTATAAAAAATGCTGAGTCTGTTTTATTAAGATCATAAACATCATTGCAGTGAATAAAACACGAGAACACCGATATAATATGTTCATTAAACTTAATGCTCTCAAACTTATGATTACGTTACTACTCTTTACGAGTTTCATCGCAAGCTCATTTAAAAATGTATAGTTTGAATTTTTTTCAAAAATTGTCCAATTATTTATTTAAAATTTTCCTCGGATAGAGCTAAGCACGCTTCAAAAATGACGCAGGTGTAAATTTCGTCAATCTCCGTGTATTTTCGGAAAATGTAAAAAATTAATATTGTAAAATATTAAGTATAGATATGATTTCCTTAAATGAACTTTGTTCTACAAAATTAGCTCTATAACTAAGGTCAGGTAAATTTTTTAAGCAGTAGTTTTTACATACTTTTTGCATGAAATAAAATAAAATTAAAAAAGAAACAAGAACGTCTTAATTTTTTTTCTTTCTATTATTTCTCGGATAGACCAAAGAATGCTTAAAAACTGCAGTCTTATTTTCGTTTAACTGTATTATTTTGCGAATTGCAAAAGTTAGAAGTAATGCAAAAAAGTGCTTTGGTTAGTAAGATATAGTATTATTCTGCTCCGTCATACATCGACAATTTTTCGACAGGAAAAACTCCGATTGTGGGGACTTGGTATAAAAAATGTAGCAATTACTTTGTCTGTCTGCCTACTCGTCCGTCCGTTCGTCTGGGGTCAACTTGAGGACCCAAATCCCAAAATCGATATTACCCAAAATGAGGTCGACATTCAGACTATCCCCCCTTTTTTTAAGTGTAGATGTCGAGGAATGGTTTTTGAAAGTAAATGATATTTTTTTTAATCTCAAATATGCTTTAAATATTTTCTTCAATTTTCTTCGTCCTGTTGAGAAGAGGCTGCTTTAAAAATAGATACATGTTTTATCTCGTTGAATTCTCTGAATTTTTGAAAGTTACAAATTGAAAGCAATAAATCAAGAAAGTATTTGCTGTTGCAACTCCACGTTTAAATTAGACACTATTCTGAGAAAGTCATTAGAAATTTCTAAAAAAACAATTATCATTTTTTTAGAAATGTCCGATGTAGAATTTGCTGGCTTCAAATTTGTCAAGAGATCTATAGAAATTTTCGAAAAGTATTGGTTGAAAAGAATGGCGATTGTTCCCATATCGTTCACATCTGGCAATCATTTAAGACAACATTATATCACGTCGTAATCAGTTAAGACAACATTTTCCCTAAGTTTGTAGACAGTGTTCGATTTATTTACTAAATTTCACTTTGCGTTAGTTTTTTTTCTCTTCTTACTACGTCCTTACGTAGTACAGAGAAATTATGGTAAGAAAAAGTCGTATTGTAGGACCTAGGAAACGAAAAAGTGGATGCAACTTGTTCCTATATATAGTAAATTACATCTACGAAACTCTAGAGACGGAATCCATGTTTTGTAGCTCCTTGACACCGACAAATTGATTAACGACAAAACGTCTGAATGACTATGGCCCATGTTGTGCTAGCGTCTAAACGGGACAGATGATTTTCTCCGAAACTGTTATTCCGCGATTCAATCTGGCAGCAATCAGGCTCTGAGAGTTAAAACGGATATTTTGATTTTTGAGGGTACTTTAAATAAATCCTCAACTTTTTCAAAATTTTCTAAAAAATGGATCTCCATTTTGCATTAAAAATTTTCTCGGATAGTGCTAAGGATTGTAAAAAATGAGGCAGGCCTCATTGTCGTGGAAGTGTATTTTCGGGAATTGCAAAAGTTCAGACAATTTGTTGTGCCTGTGCAGTGCAGAGCCTCTGACCGGAAGGTTCTAGGTTCGAGTCCCGACGATGGCAAGACTTTCAATACTCGCTAGGTAGCAAGGTCGAATTCAATCATGGTCTGGAGAAGAAATCTAGTGGCCAGCTGTTCTGATCGGTAATTTAATGTGGTTTCTCTGATAAATACCAGGCGAAAGCCGGATCAGCACCCTAATAAACATGCCACTGACCGCGCGCGATTTTTCCTTCCCCTTTCTTGTCCTATCCTCACCCCTTCCACTTAAATGCACCACACTACTACACATGCCGGGAGACCGGTCGGGAGCTTAGAACTTGTCCCGGCTGGGGCAGTGTCCTGCTTGGGGGAGATATTTTGGTTGGAGAAAACCTCGCTACCTGACTGGTAGGTCGGCGCCGGATCTCACTATCCAGCGAGGGAAGATCACCGTCACCTCCCGCAATAAAAACTTACAATGGGATACAACAATGGGTTACAAAAAGCAACAATAACCGCTAATTCGTATGAGTTATACATTTTGCCAATTAACATTGTTTATTACGCTAGCAAGGACATAAAAATATATAGAAAAATATAACTAAATATAATATTTTTATACTCCTCAAAATAACTCGGCTTTTACATGTATTAATCTTCCTTCCCTCATTCTTGCCATTTTCTCACATTGTTCCCATATTCCCACATTTCTTCATTCCCACTTACGTAACATCCAACTGCCTGCAATTACTCCTATTAGTACGTTCACAAAGCACAGTAAATTCGCAGCGGCTACTATGTCCCCAAAACTACACAAAAATACTCATATATTCAAATAATTCAACATGATCTTATTTCAAAATCTGTTTTTCATGAACACATTACATTATGGAAAAATGTTAAAATTCATAGTAGTAGTTGTAGGTAGACAAACTTTGAATTGTTTCAGTTTTCGAAAAATTGGGTTTTCAACATGAGACGTCCATCATTCTCTAAAACGTTCTTCGCACTCTCCAACAACAAAATTTTATCAAAAATGCAGGAGTCGTTTTTGAAAGAAAAAAAAGGTTAAGACAAAATTAAAAATTGCGTATATTCCATACAAAATTACCCTAAAAATACGCAAATTTTCGAAAAATTATACATGACCTTATTTCAAAATCGTCATTTAAAGAACAGATTTTATTAAGGGAAAGGTGTAAGATTAAAGGAAATGTGTAATTAAATTACACATTTCTATCTTTAAAAATGTAGTTGAAGAAGACTCCGAAAAAAATGAATTTTTGCAATTTTCAAAAATTCACTTTTGAACAAAAATGAGACTTGCACCATTCTCTTAAAAGTCCTTCACACTATCCAATAACAGACTTGTATAAAAAACCATGGATCCACGTTTTAGAAAATTAGAGAAGAGTCCCAGGTGCTTCATGTAAAGTATCAATGTTCGGTTTTAAATTCAATGGGCCGCGACATCAGCAAAATGTATTGAAAATATCAATTTTGGAGAAAATTGGCTGAACATTTTAGCACCTCGCGTTGTTTACAAGTTTTAAAAGTTTAAGGTTAAGTTTTAAAATTTCAAAAGCTTTTTGGCGTTGACTAAGAACTGCGATTTTTCCACGAACTACTACTTAAGGTAGAAATTTTCTTAACCAAATCTGTTCTACCATGTTTGATCTTTAAATCAGGTCTTGTAAACTTTTACAGAAATATGGATAGTTTTCACGTATTTTTTCAAGGAAAACAGGCGATTTAAAAAAAAGATTTTCTCAGAAATGATTTCCAATTTTTTTCATTAAATTTATACTCGGATAGAGAATTAGACGTTTAAAAATGGTCCACCCCCTTTTTTTTGCCAAACTCTCTTTATTTTCGAAAAATTACAATTGCCAAATTACAAAATTAGTATTATTAAAATTAATGTATGTATCTTGATCTCGAAGTTATTATTCTTACTAATCGGAAGGCTCGTGAGTTTAAATCAATTTAAAAATAGTTATTGAATTGCAATTACATTTCCAACATTGATATACAAGCCCATTGTTAAAATTTATATGTTACAGAAAAAAATGACAAATACAACAAAAATCAAACAAATCATTGCAACGAAAAAATTAGGATATATATTAAAAATGCGATAAGCAAATTCTTATTTTTACAAGGACGTAAACGTTAAGTAATAGTAACAACTAGTAAGAAGTAACACGTTAAGTAATACACGTACGGGTAAACTGTTTAATGAAAGTAAAATAAAATTATTTATGCCATAGGAATCTTGGGTCGTGGGTTACAATGAATGTATCTTCATCTCGAAGTTATTATTTTT